TTTTATGAAACAGCAACAATAAGCAATATTGCAAGGTTGTAATATATTAACACAAACTAAATAAAATTGAATTTAGGGTCTGACAGGAAAATAAAGCAGAAAAGAAGACAATCAATGTTCCAATTCATTTTCTAGGTCTCCCTGTCCTATTATAAAAATGCATTGAAAAAATGTGATGGGATAAACTTTCAATTGATTTGAGCCTTGTGTTTATTGATTATAACTTCGCACCTTATTCAACCATGCATGCGTAGATGATGTTATGATGCAATTTTGCTGAATTGATATGCAGTCAAAAAATAAACAAAAATGTTTTTAACTTACCCTGTTTTAGGGAAGTGTGGCAGAGTGATATGACTTTCTAAATTATTTTTCTAGAATAGACCCTGTCAATAATTAAATATAAAGACATAAAACATCTAATGACTACCCTGTGCAGTATTTTTCATTTTATAAATAACAGTTTCAGGGTAGAATAACTAAAAAAGAGCAAAAATAGGGTCTTAAATGAATGACTTCAATGAATGTCATAAAAAAACCCTAAATGTCTATAAATGTAAAACATTGAAAAAAAAATTTAAACACGTAAAATGTTATTTAATAAAAAGGAAATTTATAGAACCATTAAACCTTTTTAAAAATTACCTGATGAATTTATAGAAGTATTAATTTTTTCAAACAAACTGTCTAAATGATTTTCTTCAGTTTCTAACAAATAATCTAGTACGAAAAGAATATTTTTTATTTAAATTTATTAATTAAATTATTAAAAAACAAAAGAATTAAAATATTTATTAAAATATTAAAGAAAGAACTATTTATTAAAATTATATAAAACTATTTAAAAAATAATAATCTCCAACATTTTGACATAAAATAATATTAAACATAAAAATTCGAACCTTTACCAAATCGATAAATTAGATCGGTTTGAAATTTACATTCAGTTAGTAAAATATATTGATCACATGCACCTTTAATATCATTAGTCAGTGCGTAGAGCTGTTGAGACCTATAATTCAAGATTCTTGTAATTATAAAATACTTTTAAAAGGATTATGTGAAAACCTAATGTCATTCAATTTTGTTTTGCCCTGACAATGTATGATAAAGACTGTATAAAAGTTAAAATACTTATAAAAAAAATACTTGCGTATCTTTCATATTGTTCCAACATTTTATACTCAAGTCAACTTCACAGTATTTTAAAGTTAAGTGTTAATGCCTATTAAAAAAAATACCTGATGCCTATTTAAAAAAATGCCTATTAAAAAAATGCCTATTAAAAAAATATTCTGAAAAAATACCATAGCCTTATGTATTTTGAAAAAGAATTTGAAAGAAAATTTTTTTTTTTAAAAAAAAATAAAAATTTAATTTAGAAGAAGTTTTCAATTAACGCAAAAAAAAACTTCAAATAAAAAAATGAAAACAAGAACCTTGCTTGTTCCTCAGATTCTGCCAACTCAAGAGAAGAGCAATCAAACTCATGTTCTTTAATATTATTATATGAATTAAGTTCTTCTTTAATGACGCTTAACAAGTTTATCTAAAAATAACTTGTACATAACTTTTTTTAATCAACAATAACATTTTAATAACATTTAAAATTTTTTACATTTGGGCAAGAAAAAAAAAATACATACATCCATTTTTTAGATTTTTTACTTCAGCTAAAGTTCAAATAAAGATGCCGTTTTTTTTACTACAAACTGGTTTTAAAATTTTGGTAAGAAAAATGTAACATTTATTACAGTAGCATACATCAGAATGTATCAAACAAAATGTATAATCACAGGTATAAACAAACAAAATGCGAATACTATTTAAAAAAACCTGTATATCACAAACAATCATCACAAATAAACTGACAATTCTCAAAATAACTAATGCTATCCTCAAAATAACTAATAAAAACATTTTAAAAAATCAACATAATATTCAAAAAATACCAATGTAATAACATCCAAAATAACCAATGCAACAAAACTCAAAACACAACAAAAATAAAACTTTATAATAATGAAGACCAAAACTATCACGGCCTCGCTAACTCAAAAAAAAAAAATTTCAAGACACTTGAACAATGAAAACATGAAAAGTTTTAAATTTCAATAATGTATTTTGCACTAAAAACAGTTAAAAAATTTATATATTTAAAAACATATGTATTAAAATATTAAACTAATGGAATAATTGTTAAAGGTTGAGAAATAATATCTCTTATAACTTCAACTGGTGAGCTGCCATTTAAAAGTTGAACTTGAACATCTTTTTGATTGTCGATTGTTTGAATAACCTTTGTATCTTGATTATCATTGCTTACTCCCTGAATCGAGTTAGATGGATCAAGAGGTTTAAGTTCCATTTTGTGATGCAATTTTGTAAATAAACTAACTTCATCAGGACTTGGATACGAGCCAGAACTTTGAAGATGAGATTCAATATGTTTGCTTAATGTCTCGTTAGTTTTAAATAAGTTAATATTGCATAGTTCACTTTTGTAAGATGCATGTTTAGAAATACAGTGTTTCTTTAATCCTGATGGATCAGTGTACCCTTTCCCACAATGTTCGCAAACATACTTTTTATCACCTGTGTGAATACGAATGTGTCTATTTAAATTTTCTCTTCTATCAAAACGTTTTCCACATGATTCACAGGCAAATGGCTTCATACCTGGATGCTCTTCAGCATAATGGCGTCTTATTGCTGATACCATTTCAAATTCATTGTTACATAAGTGACACTGTAATGTATTTTTTTTGCGCAGCTTACTTCCACTATGAGAGCTATCTGCATCATCACTGGGAAACACCTCTAAACAAAGCATTATAGGATTTTTATGCCACATAAATAAATGTAAATTTTGAAAATAACAACAACACTAAGTTAACAAATTACTAAGACAAATGGTTAACATTTACACTATGTTAGCGAGCTGGGCCTGCACAGTACATATGTTTTACTAATACATATTCTGTGCATATTATATCTGACACTCATCAGTGGCACACACTTTAATCCTGACACTTAGAAAATAAATAATAATAAAAATTTAAAAATATTTGTTGTAATAAATCTCATTTATACATAGATAACACTTTCCCAATCCACTCAGTCATATTATGTAATAAAGCCTTTGGTTACAATTATTTATATATATTTTTTTTTGGCAACATTTCAATTACCTTTTTTAACTGTTATTATAATTACTTATGATTATTTTAAATATTTACACGATTTAAAAAAAAAACATAAACAGGTAAAACCTAGTACAAATTAAAGTATTGTAAAAAGTTAGATTTTAATGAACAGCTAGTATAAACCTGTATGTTGAGTGAAGTGTTGAGTGTTTTTCAGTTCAATATAAATACTTTCTTTAATTTTAAGTTGAAATATATACATAAAATTGAAGAAAGTATTTATAATTGACTGATTTATAATGAAAACATAAATCAGTCAAAAATGAAAAAGACTATAATTGGTAGAAAATATTGGGTCTGTGTCATCTGAAAATTTTTTAGATGTTTTTTTTTTTTTTTTGTAGAATAACTTAGTAGTTTAAGTTTTTGTAGATATAATTAAGAAATATAACTATAACTAAGAAAATAAAAAATTAAAAGAAAAATAACAGAACACAATGAACAATGAAACATGATATTAATATAGCCATTAAAAATACTTTGTGTTAACACAAAATATTATTACTTTTTTGCCTTCAAATGTTTACTAATATCATTATTAATAGGTATATAAAGGTTTGAGGTGTTTACTAATATCATTATTGATATCATAGGTTAAATTGGATTTCACTTTCATAGGTTAAATTGGATTTCAATTCTATTAGTTTAGTCAGTTTTTGCAGATGTTTTAAAAGAGTTAATTTCTCAAGGCATTATGAAATCATTAAAATTCTGCTAACTGGGTCATGCTTTCTTTTAAATTTAGCTCCTCTGAACAAACTGATCAATTGGGCTTTAGCAAAAATCTATATGCTTTTTTGAAATTTAAGTTTAACTATGAAATTCCATTATGTTATTTTTCAGTGGATATTTAACATAAACAACAGTAAAACGTTTCTTTACATTTGTTATTTTGATGAAAAACACCCATTCTGAGAGTAAAGTAGCTCTTTCTTCATTTTTTTTCATCTCTACATTATTAGATTTGGCTGTCTTGATTTGAGTATAATAATAATAATAAATATTTACCACTGCCATGTTTACCACTGCCATCAGCAATATTTATAGAAAAAATTAGAACCTTTATTTTCAATTGTAAAATGGTAATTCCATACAGTGTAACAAATGGCTTACATAGAGAAATGGTTTTTTCTTTACATGTAATACAATAAGACAAGCTGTTACAACTTTTTGTATCCTGTTTTCTGGGCTTTCAGCAAATACTCTTGTCAGGATAAACATATACATAGCAATGAAAATAGACATTCTTTTTTTTTCCTTTGCCATACACATCAACAAAAATTTATATTAGCAACCTACTGAAAAGACTTATCTGGCTGAATTTTGTTTATTACCATTAGAGGGTTACATTTTCCTAATTAAAAAAAAAACATTCAAAGACTAGCAATAATACTAATATACAAATAGTAAATAGTATATTGTATGCCCCTATATAAAAAAAAAGAAAAAATTGTAACAATTCTTATGATGAATATCAAGCCTACAATCAACTAGCCTATAATGTATTTTGAATTGATCACATAATAAATGTCACACACATTAAGTAAATGTCACACACATTAAGTGTTGAAACAAAAGTAAAACTTCAAGTTTAAATTTGCTTTTAATGATCTATGCAAAATGTCAACATTTAACAAGTTAAAATATAAGCCAACACTAAAATATAACTAGTTTTATTGCTATAACATATATATATATATATATATATATATATATATATATATATATATATATATATATATATATATATATATATATATATATATATATATATATATATATATATATTCTTTGAAAGTTATATTCTTGTTATACGTTATAATGTAATTAAAATTCAATAAAAACGGCTGCATATAAACTTTTTTGAAAAAAAATAATAAATTTTTTTAATTTTAATATATATTATTCAATATTTCCCTTTAAAATATTCGATAGATTTGTCCTTGATGGTTGTTATGGCAGAAGCGTTTCTACAAAATATAGAAAGAAAAGCACTTAGTATAGCTACTATTCATACATCTTCAATAAAACAACAACAAATGTTTCTAAGTATCCTAAACAAACGAAATCCTGCCATAAAATACACCGTTGAACTCGAAAACCACCAAAAACAACTTAATTTTTTAGATATTATTATTATGAACATAATGAATGGAACTTACGAATTTCAAATACATCGAAAAAAAGCAATAACTAATATTCAACTAAAACCTAACTCAAACATCAATCCTAATATTATCACTGGCATATTCAAAGAGTTTTTAAGTTGTGCAAAAAGAATATGTTCACAAAAATACCTCCAACAAGAAATTGATTTTTTAACAAAAATATTTGTTGAAAACAACAACAAGAACAATTTAACTAATATCGCCAGAGACTATATAAAAATAGATGAAAAAAAAAAACCAATTATTAACCAACTGACAACCAACCATCTATAAAGCTATCATGGATACCAATTATTGGTTCCAAATTTAGAAAAGAATTTCAAAAACAAAACATAAAAGTTATATTTACATCAACTCCAAATTTTAACAATATATTCTGTAACAATAAAACAAAACTTCCTCCAAATATAAACCCAGGCGTCTACCAAATAAAATGTTCATGCAACTCTATATACATTGGTGAAATCAAAAATAAAATTATATCAAGATGTATTGAACACCAAAAAATAGTAAAAAAGGAAAATGGGCTAGTTTGGGTGCTACTGAGCATTCCAAATCATGTCAAGGTACGTTTGGCTGGTTAAACCTGAAAACCTTATCAGTTGCTCCAGAAAATTATATTTGGAAAATTCGAGAATCCCTAGAAATAAACAAAGCTAAAGTTAGACAAGAGTTGGGAAGTGGCAAAAATGTTAATAATAAGGAAGATGGTGATAACGTCACAACAAAAGCTTGGGGGCGATTCTTTATTAAACTAGCTGATGTCAACATTTAATCCTTTTTTGTATTTGCGCATACTCTTTTTAATGTTATCTTATAACGGTTTGTTTTTATTTTAATGATTATCTTTGTAACGACTTTTATTTATTATACCTGATGACGCTGATCACAATAGATCAGCGAAATATTAAATAATATTTTTTTTTTTTTTCAAAAAAGTTTATATGCAGCCGTTTTTATTGAATTTTAATTATATATATATATATATATATATATATATATATATATATATATATATATATATATATATATATAACATAATATATATATAACATAATATATATATAACATAATATATATATAACATAATATATATATAACATAATATATATATAACATAATATATATATATATATATATATATATATATATATATCCTAAAAAGCTGCAGATGGTCTGAAAAAAAATTGTCTGAAACTTAATAAAGAAGAAACTTAATGAGACAGTCCTGCTACTCCAGATGGTGCTGCTGTGGAGGCAAAAAAAAAAAGCCTACGGCTAGAAAAAAATTTAAAACTTTCTTTTGACAACTAAAAGTTTTTTTTGCTACATTTATTTTTTTACTATATAATATAAACTATATAATAATATAAACTAATTTTTTAAAAACTTTGTTGTGCTTAACCATCCCTATATAAACAATATATATAAACAAATATGTTATTTCTTTATATATTGTTATGTTGTTTATATATTATATATTGTTTATAAAATGTAAAAAACCCACTTATTTAACGTTTTATTCAGGATCGCATGTAATATAAGTAAACTTTTCTAAACATTACAAATCTTTTTTGCTCAAGCTGTTTTGTTTTGATTTTTTGTATGTATTATATTTAAAAAAATTGACAAGATTGAAAAAACACGAAATATATTCTCATTCAAGTGGACAATTTGAAACTTTAATTTTAGATTTGCCTCTCTCTTGAATATTTCTGATTACTAAAATTACATCATCTACTTCTTAGACTTTTAAAAACGATAGACAAGGCTATTTCAGAAATCGTTGATGCCACAATTTTTTTGCGTATGTGACATTACTTTGTGGCAAAAAACTAGAAAAACAAACTAGAACTAAGATTTTATTTAAATTTTTTTCAAAAACTTCTTCTATTAAAGATATATGAAATATATTTTTATGGGATATATTCTAATAAAGACAAAAACTACTTATTTATTACTATTGTAATAAATTCAATCTCTTATACGTGAAATGATATATCTGTACCAGTTTTATATATTTTTATGCAATTTTATGCAACATAATTAAAATTAATCAAAAAATGTAAAATAAATGCAAAAGGTAACTTGATGCATAAAGCTTTATTTTGCCACAAATTAACATC